CAAGGCCAGGAGACACAGAGGACGGACAGAGCATGGGAACGAAAGCTTTCATCTCTTAGACGTGACCGCCACTCCCTGGTCTTTTCATAACTTATTCATGCTGGGTTCCCAACAGACTCGCTTTGTTGTGTGCACGGTATTAAGGAGAGCGGCTCGCACCAGTCAGGAGAAATAAATGCACTTAAGTCTACAACAAACGCGCGAGCCCCGGCTCCGTGCCCAGACAGAGCCCGCCGTCCTACCTTTGACGGAGGAGGCCGCGGGCTCGGATTTCCACCCCTCTGGATTCAATCCGAACAGAGTGGCAAAGCAGTCAGACATCTCTTCTTCCGTCATGTGCTCCCCTGGGCGTCGGAAAGGGGAAAGGAGGCGGTTCAGCTCGTGCCACTGAGAGCAATGCCAGAGCTTAGGGTCATCACTCTGAGGTCTTCTAGAGAAGGATTCCACTCTTTCCATTTCTTGAGGCACAAAAACAATCTACAGAGTCCTGTGTTACTGTCCCATATGCCTCCTCAGATGCTGTTAAAAATGGTACCCAGCCCGGGGAATGGTGTCCAGGGCATGTGCAGAGAAATAAGATAACTTTCTGATAAAGACTGTGCTCGGCCTCGTTTCAAACCTCCTCACTTAGGAAGCACAGATTTGGCTGAGATGACATGATCATCCAGAGAAAAAGGTTACGTGACTTCCTCACATAAAACGATGAGGAAAACAGTAGGTAAAAATGAAAAATTCCACAAACGCAACCCAATCTCATAACAGCCCTGTGAGACTGATGGCCGGCACTTTTATTCCCGCTTTACGAGTGAGGGCACTGAACCTCGCAGAGTTTCAGGAAGTTGGAACGTAAACTGCATCCTTCTGGTTCCCAGGCCGGGCATCCTTCTCCATGTTTGCCAGCCACGTGGTCAGTAAGTGGCACCCACAAGGCTGAAGCCCCGACAACTCAGAGATGCCAGGGGATCTGTCTCCCCAGCTCCGTTCTCTCCAGTGGGGACGGCCCAGGGGTATTACGAGACATGCCTATCTATACACTTACCTTTGGTTAGAAGCAGTTTCAGGAAATCCTCTCTTCGAATAGCTTTCTTTCCTTTTGAATTGGTAAAACCAAGAATGTCAAAGCTCTGCTGAATGCCACTCATGGTGTTACCAAAGGGTGGCCTGTGATTGAGGTAAACTTTGAAGAAATCCGGTAAGTTGATTTTGTCAATTAGCTTCCCAGTGTCCACGTACTCACTAAATCTGATTTCGTTAAACATATCTTCAATCTAGGGAAGAGATTAAAAAAAAAAGACCATGATAAGCAGAAAAGACACTCTGATAGACTTCTAAGAATCAGAGAGGAACAGACGAATGTTCACAGCTAGCTCAGACTATGTCTGTTACGGGTTGATTATATCCCCCAAGAGAGACATGTTGAAGTCCTAACCCCCAGGCCCTCAGAATGCGACCTTATAAATAACAACAGGGTCGTGGCAGATGGAATCAGCGAAGATGAGGTCATACTGCAGGAGGGTGGGCCTTTGATCCAGCACCACCGGTGTCCTTGTGAAAAGAGGAGAGAGACACTCAGGGAGAAGGTAACCACCGATGACTAACGCAGAGACGGGACTGATACAGCTTAAGCCAAGGAACGCCAAGGGCGGCTGGTAAGCTCAGAAGCAAGAAGAGGCAAGGGAGGATTCACAGAGAGCACCGCCCTGATGCACCGTGATTTCAGACTTCCCGAGAGAATTAAATTTCTGCTGTTTTAAGCCACCCAGTTTGTGGTACTTTTCCACAGCAGCCCTGATACACTGTCCAATTGGTCAATACTAGAAGCACCAGGCATGAATCCTGGTTCATTGTACCATTTTTCACCTAAGTGTCTCACAGTGTAACCACTGCATCCTTGCTGTGTGAAGCAGATATTAGTTTCATTTAAAAGAATCCTAAAGAATTTAGAAATCAGTTTATATGAATAAGCAAATAATTCAGAATGAAACTCAAATACAGGACCTACGGCCTCAGTAAGTTTCTTAAGACAATTAACTGCACCATGATTCTTTTTTCCTTTCTTTTCCATTTTTATCCTGCCATGTTTTATACATACAAAAGATTATATGCAACATACATGTAACTTATATGGTATAATTTTTTAAGTGAACGCCTAAAGAGCCATTACTCATTGAAAAGATCAACACAATCGACAAATCTTAGGAAGACTAACCAAGAAAAAAAGAGAAAAGACTCAAATTACTAAAATCAGGAATGAAAGGACACCGGTATCAACCTCACAGAAATAAAAAGGAGTATGAGCAACTGTATGCCAACAAATCAGATAACTTAGGTGAAATGGACAAATTCCTGGAAAGATACCAATGACCAAAATTGACTCAAGAAGAAATAGAAAATCTGAATAGACCTCTAACAAGTAATGTGATTGAATTAGTAATTTTTCAAATTCCACAAAGAAAAGCCTAGGACCAAATGGGTTCAGTGGTGAATTCTACCAAGTATTTAAAGAACACCCGTTCTCCACAAATTCTCCCAAAACACAGAAGAAAAGGGAACACTTCCCACTTCATTCTATGAGGACTGCTTTCTGATTTGGAAAGTCATTCTTTGTGTATATTCTGAATTTTCTAGAATGAGCAAAGAGTGGTGGGTGACATGTCTGTGGATTCAAATTAAAATGTGGTGACAGTTAATGCAGGTCTCCATACGAGGCTCCTGATGTGCTGGGCAAAACGCACAGAGGAGAGAAATAGGACATAGGAACTAACAAAACCATCCCTCTCTCCCATCAGCCTTCCCTGCAGTATTTTTGTACCATGCACATTGTAGTCAGCTGAAATTCAGGAATCATGCCTGACAAGCGGCTAGAAATGAGTAACTTATTTTAATGTCTACATTTAAAACTACTATGTCTCCCCCCAAATTGTGGGGTTTAAAATATATATATATAGAGAGAGAGGAGGGAGAGAGAGGGAGGGAGAGAGAGGAGAGAGAATAAGAGCCACAGAAAAGTGAGAAATAGCTTTTCGGGTTTTTTTTTTTTCCAGAACATAAATTCTACTTTGGTCTGTAGGAATGACTCAGGAAGGGAATATATATCAAAAGATAACCGATTTCTCCCTGTCTACTAAATAAATGTAGAACAAAAACTCATAGAGCACCAGTTTGAAACAATGCAAAATATCAGCCTGTCTGGGGAATCCTAGCGTCTGCTTGGTCTTGCCCCAAGTATCAGGAAGAAAACACAAACCTGCAGTCCAACCATTTGATGGTAATTTCTCTGTAAGATATGGGATACCTTCTTTCCTTTCCCCCACACATATAAAATATATGAGTCTATTTTTGCAAAACTGGTGTATATGTGTGTATCTTACTTTTGTACCCTGCTTTTTCCCTTTAACACTGTGTCTAAGTAATCACCCCTTATTTTCAGAGAAGCCATATATTCTCAATGCAACACTCCAGGAATGTCTTTCGACATATCATTGGTTATGGATACAAAAGAACCGTAATTGATACTATGTAAGTAGCTTTATTTGGCAACATTTTCACGTATAGCATTTATTGAGTTTATATTATATACAATGGATTATTAAGTTACGTGTAATTTCTTATGTATAAACAAAACTAACCTGTGGCGTATTATTTACATATTGCACTATTTGATTTTAATAGTATTAGTATATGCCTGTGCTACCACTTACCACGAGCCAGTGGAGACTGGGGCTAAAACTATGATCAGATGACAGATGATGCTGTTCAGACCGAGGTTCAAACCCTGGCTCTGCCATTTTCTATAGATCTTGGGTGAGTGACTTAACATTCCTTATTCTCAGCTTTCTCATCTCGAAAAAGGGGGTAATATGGTAAACCTTTTGCAGTGGACTGTCGTGAAGTTACTATGACACTGTATTTAAAGCACTCACACAATGCCTAACACACAGTCCGCACTCAATAGTCAGTCACTGTTCTAATGATGATACTTTCCATGCCCTTGCTAATGACAATAAATGTAATTATAAATTACAATTGATAAATACGTAGGCTATCATGTAAATGATATGTGTACTTTATAAACGCAGCATACAATTTAAACCCAATTCAGAAATAGAAGACTAAGCCAAAGACAACAAAAAGGAATCCAAAAGTGCCTGGAGTTTCTCATACCTAGCACGTTCTGGGGATTTCAGTGAACATTCTCAGCGCAAACCACTCCGTAGGTGACTCACCTCATTCTTTTCCTAAAGGACTGATTAGGAATCACTGCTTAACAAGCTCGGAGCTGGCAGCTTCGGCATCACTGACATTTCTTTCCCGAGCCTACTTTGCAAGTGGTAGTTGAAAAGGCAGCTTCTGCTTTGTGCCTAAACAAGGTTTGCTCTGCTCCGCTCAGGGAGAGGAACCAGGGAGCCGGCACAGGCCGCTGAGACCCTTCCCTGGGCCCCGCTGCCCGCCCGCAGCACACTGGCTGGCTTCAGCCAGCCTTTATTGGCATTCTCGTGCTGGCCCGTCATCCACTAAGGCAGGGGCTCATTTGATTCACCCAGGGAGCTTTAAACATTCTGAGGCCCAGGCTCCATTCCCAGAGAGCCTGATTTAATTGGTCTGGGGTGGAGTATGAGCAGTCACAGTTTTGAAAAGCTCCCCAGGAGATGTGAATGTGTGGCCAAGGTTGAGAAGCGCAGCTTTAAGGCAGGGCTTCTCACACTTTATCAGGCATCAAACACAGACTGCGGGTCACACCCCCAGAGTTTCTGATCCCGTGAGTTTGGGATGGGGGCCGAGAATCTGCTTTTCTTACAAATCCCCAGGTGAGGCCGGTGCTGCCGTGCTGGGGGCCACAGCTTCGAGAACCACAGCGGTTCATGGAGGTGATGCTTGTGCCAAAAAGAATCAGCACCAGGCTTGTGATTTTCATTAGAGAGTAATGATGGGTGGCAGCTGCGGTGCGTGTGCTAATTCTTCGGACCCCCGTCTGTCTCCTCCATTAAGCTGTAGCAGTAGCTTTCATCTCTCATTTCCACAGCAGCTTTGTTCAGACCCTGGCACATTGTAGGGGCCCAGAGAAATGTTTATTGAAAGGAAAGAAGGAAGGGAGGAAGGAAGGAAGGAAGGCGGAAGGAAAGAAAGAAGGAAAGGAAAAAAGAAGAAAGGAAGGAAAGAAAGAAACAAACAAACGCTGTGGGTACAATGAGGCCAGGGAAGAAGTTCAAAACTCACAAAAGGCTTATTTAGAATAACCACTTATTGCCCCAGTTAATTTAGTTCAATTTACCAGAAGTTACTGAGCATTGGGTTTAGTGCTGGCCCAATGAAAGGCAAGTCACTTAATTATTACTAGAACAGGCCTGCATTCTAGGAGTGTCTCACACACACACACACACACACACACGCACACGCACACATGCACACACACACACACCAGGAAGGCTCCACCCTCAGGGCCCATGAGAAACACCTGGGGGCTTTTATAAACCATCCAGGCCCAGGCTCCACCCCTAGGCTCAACTGACTGGGGGAGGAGGGGTGGGGTGGGTGGGCCCAGGTATCAGTATTTTTAAAGTTGCCCTACGTGCTTTTACCATAGTTGGATACCATGGCTCTTAAAGATTTTGCATCAAAATGCAGGAAACTGACACCCAGGGCTGGGCTGCAGGAGCCTTCTGATGGGTGGGCTTGGGGAGGCTTCATGAAAGAGGCGGACCCCAGGATGCAGGCAGGAGGAGGTGAGGGAAAGGCACTCTGGGCTGGGAAACAAGTGTGAGGAGGGGGGCGCCAGGGCGGGGTGCCTGCGAAACTCTCCCAAAGCACCTTCATCTCTGCCAACACTACAAGTCACTACACGCCTAGCGGCTGAAAGCACACACACACATTGATCTCACAGTTCTCGAAGTCACAAATCTGAAATGGGTTTCAAGGGTCAAAATCAAGGGGTTGGTAGGGCTTCATTCCTTCTGTCTAGTGGAGAGTCGGCTTCCTTCCTTTTCCAGCGTCTAGGGACTGCCTGCATTCCCTGGCTCATGGCCCCCTTCCATCCTCAAAGTCAACATTCTCATCCCTCACTCTGACCTCTTCTGACTCCAGCCCTCCTCCCGCTCTCACGATGACATTGGATCCGCTGGGTAATCTGGGATAATCTCCTAATCGCGAGACCCTTAATTTAATCATGCCGGCAAAACCCCGTTTGCCGTGCAAGGTAACATGTTCACGGGCGGCAGGGATTAGGACCATTACTCTGCCTGCCACACCTTCCGTCTGGGCAGAGAAGTCA